CAGCATAGCTGGCTGGGGAATTCTGGGAGTTGAAGTCCGCTCATCTTAAAGTTGCCAAGGTTGAGAAACACTGATATAACCTATCTCTCCAGCACATTCCATAAGCTAGCATTGTTCAGTCTAGCATCCACCAGATGTGGACCACCATTCCCAGTTCACAAGATGTGCCTACACACAATACAATTAGAGCATAGCAAAAGCTTCAGTCATTCCCCTTTTGCCTAAACGAAGTGGCTGTCTTGAGAGCCCAAAGCACTGTCATGACAGCGTGTGCAAAGCACAATTCCTATCAGACACACTTCAGGTTTCTTTTCCCACTCTGCGTGGACAAGTCAGCTTTGTCCAGGCAGGGCAGGACACATCTGAGGTTCTAATATGTGCAGAAAATTTAACAACCATGAACTGGCCTGGACCAGTTCAAGAGTCCCCCTGATCTGGGCACCCAAGTCTGGAAAAGATTGTTGTATAGCAATGAAAACCTCTGTCTCTTCTAGACAACTTGTAGGCCCTTCCTTACCTCTAACCACATCGTACTGTAGCAGCATTTTTTTTCCTAACGTGTTCCTATGACACTGACTTTATCTTGCTCACAGCCCATGAGTGAGGCAGCTTTAAGTGATCCTTCGCTGCACTTGTGGTGAAGTAGCATTTCCTCCCTTATACTGACATGTCTGACCACAGCCTCAGAGTGTATAAAATGTTTTAGACTTTGTAACCCATTATTTTGGAGGGAGGTCAAGTAACTGCAGTGACTTGAAACAGAGGCAGTATTCCTCCGGAGAGGGATTGTCAACAGGGACAGCAAATTTTGTGCTGATAATAGTTTTTTGCTGACCCAAGGATGCAGTGCTACCCACAGCTCTGCAGTGGGGAAGGGCCCTGTGCATGCTTTGTGCTTAAAATATATAATAACCCAGCATATTAAAATAGATAATAACCCAGCAGTCTTGTGGCAATTTGAATTTTGTCCCAAGACAACACTTCAAAGAGACAGCAGAGGGGCACAGGAGGAAGATCAGTTGATGCTCTTGACTACCCCTCCATCCTGACTGATAGGTCACTGAAGTGGAGAAGAAGTGTGTGATGAAGCAGAAGGCAATGCTCCATCCCTTGTCTCCCAACCCCCTTCTTTGATCCACTGATCTGTCAGCTAAACTATTTTGAGACAAGCATGTACAGTAAAGTTCTACTGGAAGAATAGACCAATGTTCAGAAACAGCCTGAATGACAGGTCACCAATGTGGACATTCTACACACTGGTGATCTGTCATTAGGGCATCTTGAAAGGTGGCTAAAGCCTCCATCCCACAGACCTACCCACAGTTGCCCAGATCTGTCCCACTCTGTGTTAAGAGCAGCAACTGGAGGTGGCTTTTCCTGCCAGCAGGTGATGCTTGGTGAAGAGAAGATGCAGCCAGGAAAGTGCACCAGTTGCTGCCCTTAAATTATCCCATATTGAAACTGTAAGGACAGACCCATTTTCAAGCCTTATCACTGAGGCAGAATATAGTTCAGCCATCTGAGCAATGTAAATTATGCCAGTATATATATATCTGCTGACTCAGGGATGGGAGGAATGCATGTTAACATGGCGATGAGTGACTAATTGCAACTTTCTTTGGGTGGAGTTCAGAACGATTTAGAAGAGAAGAGTATGAGGAAGTCTTAAAGAAAACTTACAACAAAATAAACAATGCTTCAAACTAACTTTAGTTAACTCTAAAGGTTTAAGTTCGCTAAAAAAATCAGAAAAGGAAAATAAATAACAGGTCAATTTAAAGGCAGTCATATTCCTCTTTCACTATTGTGCTTTGGCAGCTGTATTTAAGTCATGGCTTAGATTCTGGAAGCAAAACTTTTGTCACTGAAACTATCAACCATTGATAGTCCTTTTCCCAATGAATTTATCTAGTTCTTCCCAAATAATAAAAATCAGTGGCATCATTGTATAAGACAGCAAATTGCATAGTTCAGTTCTGTTTTAGTTCTCAGTTCAGAATGTCTTTTTTACCTGGCTTTAGTGGATGAACCCAGGTACTAATATTGTGGAAAATGGGAGGCAGAGTGGGGGGGGAGAGTCAATGACTCTATTATGTCCCCTCCTATCTTTATAACATGTCATATTAAATATTGCCCTGTCATTCTGTTGGCTATCTATCCACACCCAAGAAGGCTTCCTCTGTAATCACAGGATGTGGTAATATTGTACAAAGAAAACTTCTCACCAAAGGTTATTGGAATAATGAAGCCTTTCTTCTCTTTAGCAATCATATTCTATGTTTTTGCAAAACAAGGTGATTGAATATTATGAAATTCTGTTAATAACATAAGGTGCAGTTTATAAAGGAAGCCTTAATGCGTGTAAGCTCTGCCACCTGACCAAGGGGCTTTTTGTTTTAGCAAATATTCTCATGATTTTTTGAGTTTTGCATAAAAGAGTATTTAAGGCTGCAACTGAGTATAAGTTTCAGCTTGAAAAGCAATTTATGCTAACTTTCTCTGACATATAGGGAAATGTTTGTAAGAAACCAATGGCCATGCTCTAAAATCCACTTAAGCATGCTTAAACCTATTGATTATGGTGGACCTAAAGCACGATTTAATCTGGTTTGGACTGTGATTGGTGGGAAACAGAAAATTATCTCATGGCAAGTCACTTCAGTATTGGTATACTTTTAGAACTCAGTTTGACTATCATATTTTGTCTAAACTGCTGCACTGTAAGCATTTACAATTGTCAGATCTGTTCCATAATTAGATGTTCACTTTTTCTTTTGTTAAAATAGTTCTTTCCATAATTTCATGGTGTACTAACTGGTCAGAATTCTATTCCTTTCCCCACACAAAGAATCCTTTCCCCACATTATGCTTGTCTGTAACAGACCACTGTTACAGTCACACTGACACTCTGCAAACATATATTTTTATAACACAAAACATTGAGTACTGTTTGTTCAGATAGCAATCAGTCATTTGCTGCCACGAAATGAGGTAGTAGCTACCCATTTAGCTTTAAAAGGGGAAGAGGTAAATTCATGGAAGTATAGAGTCAAAACACTACCTTTACTACTGGGGGTGGCATACCAGTCATTAGGGAGAATAATCATTAGGGTGATTACTGTCATGTCTGGTTTACAGGTTCCTCAGAGCATCTGGATGGCAGTTATGGAGACAAATTTTGGTCTCATCAAGCTGCACTGTTCTTTGGTTCATAGCTCAGACAATTTCCCCAAACTTGACTTTTTACAGTAATGAAGTCAGTGGGAGAACTTTGGAAATCTGGACTGCAGCCAAATCAGTTTGTATATTTATATCATCACCAGCCTTTCTTCTAATTTGTGTTTTGGCAGTTGTAAGAACCAAATGCTCTGCAATGATTTGGATAAGAATAAGAACTGACTAACTCATGGACTGGTTGTTTGGATTGCACAACTAAGTTGCATGTTCTTAAGGTCAAGCAACTGTTCTCTCCTGCACAGAGATTGTGAGTGATTAAATCAGCTCTGTTCTCCTTTTAGGGAAGCTTCACGGAGCAGATGACTTCCTCCCAGTGCTCATGTATGTTCTTGCCCGCAGTGACCTGACAGAGATGATTCTCAATGTAGAGTATATGATGGAACTTATGGACCCTGCTCTGCAGCTGGGTGAAGGTATGGAAGAACTCTAGTATGTTGATGCAACGTAGGAGTAGCCAGTTTGCAGCCATATAAGGCTTCCCCAGTCCCTTTCTTGCACCCTCCAGTTCTCACCATATTTGCATGTTTGGTGGAAAATGCAAACATTTGGCAGATTTCCAGTTTAAAAAACAAAACAAAAGGCAAGATCCATGCCCAAAGGTTCAGATAAGCTTAGCCCACATTAACCTCCCTAACCTTAAAAAAGAAAAAAAAATTGCAACCCCATATTTCTTGGTGATGTCACTAAAAAGCACTCTTCCTTACATCCTTCAGAGCAGAATGAAAAGCATATGGCCCCTAGTAGCCTCTAGACGCTCTTGCTGTGGTGATGGGGGAACATATTGATGAGAGTGAAACAGAACACTTCTAATAAACATTTTTATCTTGGCCAATCTTCATAAGCTAAGTAGGATCAGTCCTGTTCAGTTTTATGTAGGGAGACCACCAGGGAATTGCAGCAATGTAAGCTAGACTGGGAAGAAGATCAGAAGGGCAAAGTGTCCAATTCAGATCTCATTTCTGCCATAAACTTACTGTATGGCTATAGATAAGTTGAGCCTCATTCTGTCAGTTAGATAATGTGGGTGAAACACACCTACATATATAAATGTGATTATTATTGTTGTTATTATTCATGGGATTATACCTTGTTTTTCCACCACAGAAGAATGGTGGACGAATTTGGATAGAATAAAATACAGCACAGGAAGATTAAAAAGATAATTTTAAAAATAACAATGTAATACAAACATTTAACTTTAAAAAAGTATATATTAATTAAAGTATAATCCTTATTTTTATGTATGTAGGCATATTAGGGCTGTTGAGTATTTCAGATTTTGATCTGGAGAGCACCTTAAAGCAGATGACCACAAGATGGCAGCAAAAGGTTTGAATTCTCTGTATCTTTTTGCTCCCACCTAGTGGTTATTTGGATTTTTACATCCCTTTTTGGAGGGTAGCAGGAAAGATGTGTTAGTCTTGCCATTGGAGGATGAGGGGAGTGAAATGAAAATAAAAATAATAAATAGCAGCATAAAAGTAACCATAATTCTTGATCAGTATCTAGTTGTTTCTCTCAATAGATATTTGGATTAGGTGACTTGTGAAGTCCTTTCCAGATCTGAAGGTCATTCATTCTTTGTGTTCTGAGTTGTATGAAATGGGTTTCCATGAAATGCAGAATCCTTCCGTCCAGATTTGGCATGACCAGACAGATTGCATCACACCTCTTTATATTACAGCAGAAACTTCAGAGCAGTGAGGAAGGCAATCATACTAATTAGCTTGCTCCCATCTACCTGGTTGCACTGCCAGACTCTGGCTTTTTGTATGTTTGTTTATTTGTTTTTCCACCATTGTCTTTCAAAATCTGTTTTCCCCAAGAAGATTTGTCTTCCTCATACAGTGCATCTTTGAAAATTAAGGATTCTAACTGTGCTTTATTGGACCTCCCTGATCTGGGCTGCAGAAATATGAACGATCACTAGAGAGCAACAAAGGAAGATAATTTGCTTATATGTCTTTGCTGCTGTTTCCTGGTGATCTGGATTTGTTAGCACAAGTTTTTATGATAACGCTGATAAGAAGTTTCTTCAAATGACTTTGGCACCTACTCATGTGCCCCAGAAATCCCTGTAGCAGCACTGGCACAAAGAAACGGGTTCCTTCCCCTTGGCAATGTTTTTGCCTAGGTAATACTTAGTCATGACCCAAAGGGAGTTTGTGCATTTGAAAAGGGAGCAAAAGATCCCCCTGAATAAGAAGCAGAGAAAACAAGTCATTTGGCACTTTAAAAATTAAAGTAGTGTGGATTTATCAGACCAGAGCCCTTTGTATCAAAGAGAACTCCTAGCAAACAATCCTGCTTCTTTCTATTCAGGAAGAAATCCTACTGACTTTAGAGGAGCTTATTTTCTTGTATTTGCTTGTACAGGATTAATGTGTAAACCTGTTAGTTTCTAATATTCCATTCAGAATGTTGTTTTCACTGTAAAAAGCAAATACTGTACAGCTTCCTTTCGGGGAATACTAAGTGGCTCTCCCAACAGCTCAGCTGCTGTATTCTAAAAACAGATCTTACTTCTGAAAATACTGTTCACAACAACAACAAAAATCTGTCAAAGTGCCAGAAATATAGAAATGTCTTGATGTTTTCCCCTTGCAGTAGTTTAGTTAGGTCTTCTGTGCCTGGGCAGTTACAATCCACACAGCCCAAGGTGTGGATTTGGGAGGCACAGTTCAGTTGTAGGAGGGGTTAAGAGATTAGCCTGGCTTTGGGAAAAGCCACATTCGAGTCCCTATCAATCTACGTGACTTCAGGCTGGTAACTCTCTTTTAGCCCAACATACCTCACAGGATTGTTTGTACAAATAAAATTAGGAGAGACCCACGTGGAAGATGCCTTACATTCTCAAACAAAAGGTGTGATATAAATGCAATATTTAAAAAAAAAGAGAGAGAAGGAGGAGGAGGAGAAGAAGATGATGATGAAGAAGAAGAATTGGTAGACACTGAAATATTCTTATACAGATTCCTTATTGGACCTCCCTTTTTGGATGTAATCTTATGCATCTCTGTGCAAGAGGACATGTAATTGAATATGTAGGAGGTACAATACTGAGAGTTGGTCAAAGCCAAATGTACTCCTCTACTTCCCCTTCAGCAGCATTGCAAAAAAGCTAGGGCAGTGCTTCCAATGAGCTGATGGAGGTACACAAACTCAATTTACAAAAAGAAGAAGAGTGAGATGTTCAAAGAATGAGGAAATAGTTGAGATGGAGACTTTTTCAAAATGTTTGCCAAATATTTGGAAATATTTGCATCTCTTGAATTAGATGAAATCATTTGGAAGGAGAAAATAGAGTGCTGGTTAGGAAAGACACACAGGAGGGAATGCAGCTCCTTGTGCTATGTGGAATGATAAATGCAACAAGGAGTTTAATGTCTCCTGCAATTATGTCTGTAACTTGTCCTTGTAACTTGTTTGTAAGGACAAACAAAGCAAAATGTTACAAATATGCAAAATATATGCAAGTATGCAAAATATCAGAAATAACAAATTGAAAAAAAAAAACATCCTTCTAATAGACAGCATAAGATTACTTCCCAAAAGGAATTGGTAGAAGAATATTTTGCTGCATATAAATTCTTTCTCCTTGCCTTTCTGTTGCAAGAGTGCCATCTGTTGTCCAGTTCCATTAGATTTTCACTTTCTCAAACCCAGTGATTTGGATAGAAGCCAAGCCTGAATATCTCTCTATCCCAGCCAGAATAATTTCATTTCCCCCAGATGTTCATACTATGTTTTCACAACATTCCCATCTCTATTTACAACAACCAGTAGCCATTTAGCAATTTTAAAATAAGCCATAAGGAGAGAAGGCATGAAATGTTCTATGAAGCTGCGTGAAGTGCAATAGAATAAAAATTGCTTGGCTTATACATCTTCATTTTTCATAGGTTCTTATTATTTAATCACTACTTATGGGGCAGTAGAGCTTATCAAAAGCTATGATAAGATCACAGTCACCCGACAGCTAAGCACTGAAGTTCAAGATTCCATCCACCGCTGGGAGAGACGGAGAACCCTTAACAAAGCCCGGGGATCTCGATCGTCCGTTCAGGTTAGGAGATTGTGGAGCACCCTCTTTCATTTTATGCACTGATCATCTAAGTTTGCTTTAAAAGAATTACCGTATTTTTCCGACTATATGACCATACTTTTTTCTAAAATCCTTACCCTAAAAAGTGAAGGGCGCCTTATTCAAGGAAGTCAGCCGAGAATCGCGTGGTTCCAAACTGCCCATACTTTGT